CCAGCTAAAAATGTTTCTGAGGATTGACAGGAGAAGGCATCTATTGTCATAGTATTGTACAGATACATAATTATTACTGTTACATAGTCTTATCTGACCCCATTCACAAGATTTAAGCATGCAATAATTATTTAAACTCAACAAAGTGTGAAAATTAAGAAATGTATCATCATTATCATTCCTAGAAAACCTACTTCCAAAGGGTTACAGTCAATATAGTTAATTTGAACTGTCAATGGTAAGTGCTTCTACCTACCTTTTGAGTTTTGGACACAGATGCTTCTCACATGGCCTGCAAAGCTCACTAAATCATGACAGAGGGATGTCTGAATCTGGCCTAGAAAGGTCTGGGGGTCTCAGATCCTTGTATAAATAGGACCTCTGTTTATTTCTTTGGGGTGGTGTTCCTAGGTATGAGAAGTGCCTTGTGAAATATTTTCAGCCCCAATTCACCAAGAAAAATGTCAAGGATTGGTCCAGGACGATTGCTCTATGCAAAATGTACTTTTGTTGGGAACCTTTCAAGTTATACCCAGTGTAAATTTATTTGCTATCATATTATACTTCAGGTGTTGTTTAAAGGACATCCTGAGTCTCCATGGATCAACTCAAAAGGATGGTAGCATTTTTTCTTCTTGCAGAAAAGAAGGACCAATGTTGTAGATGCTTGTTTACTTTCAGAAAAACTCTGGAAATTAACTTCTACAGACATCATGCAATGTTCATTTTAACATTTCTACCTACCTTTTGTATTGTACACACTACAAACATTAATAGGGAGTTAATTTGCCTCATTCCAACAAATATATTGAGTGAAAAATACATAAAGTGGAGAACAAGTTCAAATTTACTTTTTAGGGAGGATATGAAATTTTCTGGCCCAAGAACCTTATGAAGCTCATAACAATAGCAAGGAGATCCAGTGTATAAAATGTCTCTTCTTCAAATGGTGAATTGCTTGCAGTAGGTTGCAGTCATTCAGAATTTCCCATTTTGTTACATCCCGTTGTCACAGTCAATGCCCTGCCTTATCCTCAGTTTTTATTTGTTCACCCCCAAACTTGGTATGTACAATCTACACCTCCTTAGCTATGTTTCATGCACCAGAGCTTAGTTCTTAAAATGTTTGGTTCTTGTGTTATAGCACCAACTTTGTCCAAAAAATGATGTGACATTACTTTTGATCAGGTAGTGTAGATTACTGCTTGGAAGTCTGGTCCAGTCTGGTTTTTCATCCATATTTGACAAAACCGAGACTGAGACCAGTCCGTCCATTCTGAAATTCTTGAAAACCAAGACCGGAACCATCATAGACTGGTCCACAGCAGTTTCACATGGTTTTTTGCAGTTACAAGACCGGTCTTGTATGATAATTATATATTCAAGTAGATACCCTGTACATTGTACTTACTGATAACGTGGCCTGTACTCCATGGTTTGGTTGCATGCATGGTCATGGTGAGTGAGGTGGCTGTCATCAATGGTAGTGTTTGGAAGTCCAGTCTTGTGACTGGAAAAAGACCATAACCAGACCGGACCAAGACCGCAAAAGACCGGACCTGCAGTTACGGTCTTTTATTTTTGAAATGTAAAGACCGCAAAAAAACCGGTTAACGTGAACCGGTCTTGACCGGTTTGGACCGGTCTTTTGTAGCCCCTTAAATACCCTTTAAAACGCACCCAAGAACGTACGATTTGGTAAAAAAACGAGAGAGATATA